GAAATATCAATTGATGTTTCAAGCGCGCGTCAATGCTCAATACATAATAAGACACTTCCTCATAAAAGGATCTAAGCGATTATTTTGCATGGCTATATATTTTTCAGTTGTACATATATCCTTCAATAACCTAACAAATCCCCCAAAAGAAAGAGCATGTTTAACACCTGAAACATAAATAAATCATTTGGCTAGAAGTATTTATATGACTTAGAATTTCATTGTTTGAGCACACTCCAAACATGATAACGGAATTCGAAATTGACATTACACTGAGTATTAATAGATTGTTTTACTATATGCCAAAAGCTTTCAACTGTCACAGTCAAAAATACATGCAATATGTCTTCTGAGGAATTTTCACAAACAATATCAATATCAACTAGCTTCATCCTCAATTGTTCTTTCTTTGTATATATTATTCTGCAAATAAATCTGTACTGAAAGTCTAACAGCTTACAATCATTTGTACATTTCCTGTAATATCACTCCAAATTTTATCATGCTTAAAGACAGTATTCGAATACTCTAGTACCTTAGGGGTATTGTTGTTCTTAATTAAGTCACCATTGAATATCCTTGCAATTTTAACTTTTGAGATCATATCTTGGTAAACACTCTTAATGTTTAATTGATATAAGCGGAGAATTCTGTTCTCTAAAAGTTGTCTCCAGTTCAATGGAATGCTATTTCATAATTTTCTACCTCTGTTTTTGATCTTCAAAACTGAGAAATCCATTTTTATTACAATTATCTCTGACATAATGTACACCGCAATCAAACCAATTTTTTATCATATATGAAGATTTAGAGAAATGATTTAACCGAAGTTGCTGAGCCAAGATTTGATCTTAGTCATCACTGTCAAAGGTGTGCTTTTCATAAACTATTCTCCAAGCAATAAACGTTTTAACACCAGCCCAATGATCGAGTTTTAATCATGCGACAGTAATGACATGGCAAGGGTGGATAGAGTGAGTTCTTCATACATTATAAATAGAAATGGCAAACTATGTGATCTTAACCAAATAGAAGATGAATATCATGTTCTTTTAATTTGCCCTGCTTATAATTCCCTGAGAAAGTTGTATGTTAAGAAATATTATTGTGCCCATCCAAACCTTTATAAATTTTCAGCATTGTTAAATAACAAAAACCATACTATACTTCAAAACTTGTCCATGTTTACTATGCCATGTCGTTTAGGACATAATATATCTCAGAACACAATCCAACCTACAGTTGATTATTTTCATGTGCGTGTAAATATAGATTTATAAATGTGTTGTCCTACAGGCCTGTGGCCTTTCAGTACCGGAAATGAATATATATATGACAAGCATGGGTTACTGAAGACCAATTCTAACCCAGATCTTCACGGATACATGTATAGCATCGATCTACGCATTTGTGATTCGATGACATGCATCAACCCAGTGTGACCAACATCCCGTTAGTCGCCTCTTACGACAAGCATGGGTTGCTGAAGACCACTCTAAACCAGATCTTCACGGCTCTCCTCTCCAGGGAGGTTGTGAGGAGAGTTGTCCATCTCCATGGTAGATTCATTTACACGGGAAGAGTACTATCATGGTTCTGTATTTAAGTCGACAGCCGGAGTCCGACAGGGTTGTATACTGTCTCCCGTTTTATTTATTCTATATATAGAGGAACTCGTAAACGATATTGTGAATAGCGAATACAGTGGTGCATTCATTGATGAAACTGTAGATGCATTATCTATCTTATTATTTGCGGACGACGTCGCCATTTTGGAGATAGTGTCATAAACTTGCAGAAGAAAATAGATGTTCTTAAATCATATTGCAAAAAATGGGGACTGTCGATTAATACCGAAAAGACTAAGATTGTTGTATTTAAAAAAGGTGGTGGACTTTGAAAAAATGAAAAATGGTTTATTGGCTCTGAAAGACTGGAATCTGTTTCCTATTACAAATATCTCGGAATAGTGTTTTCATGCCGGAACCTGTTTTCAAGAGCTTGTGAGGTTCTGTGTAAACAAGCCGAGAAGGCGTTATATCCTATCAAAAATTTATATGTCGATTTAAATCTCTTCCCCCAGATACATGCCTTAAGATTTTTGATGGCAAAATTCAACCAATCTTGCTCTACGGCTCAGAAATTTGGGGAACAATGTATCGTCATAACATTGAAAAAGTCCACTCTAAGTTTTGCAAATCTGTCCTAGGAGTTGGTTATCGCTCTCCTAATAAAGCTGTTTTAGCGGAATGTGGAAGATATCCACTCCAAGTCAATTATAAAACAAGAGTTATATCATACTGGTTACGACTACTTAGCCAGCCAGCCACAAGACACTCTAAACGTTGCTATAATATGATGAAAATCTAGATGATAATGGAGATACTAACTGGACCTCTTCAGTTAGAACATTGTTATTTCAATACGGTTATGCACATGTATGGATCCACCAAACAGTTGGAGATCCTTATATGTTCTTAAAGCTATTCAAACAACGCTGTAGAGATATATATTACCAAGAATGGTCATCCGATATTGCAAGCTCCAAATATTTGTATGCATATTCACTATTTAAACATGACATTGTCCATGAAACATATCTAGAAGTATTATCCTCTATGCAACTCCGCAGATCTCTTACAAAATTTAGATGTGGCATCAGTAAACTGAATGTACAAACCTATAGAAGATCCAAAGATGATGATATCAGTTCTGCCATGTGCGCTCATTGCGTCAATATTGTCCAGGACGAGTACCATGTTCTGTTACAATGTCCTGTTTTTTCTGATTTACGCATCAGGTATATACCACAATATTATTGTGTAAATCCCAACATAGAGAAGTTTGTAAATTTACTTAACACCCAAAATGCAAATATTATTTTATGCCTAGCCATATTTGTAAACAAAATTCATAACGTTTTATGATACTTATAAATGCCAGTGTACTTCTCATGCCTGCACTCCAAAGAACATGATGTCAAAATGTCACTGTACTATTGGCCTCATGGCCACTCTACGAAATAAATCTGTCTGTCTGTCTGTCTGTCTGTCTGTCAGTGACAGTTCAAAATTGAGTGACAGACAATTCACTATCATGGTTCAGAGTAGATTTTAGCGTGGTGACCGCATAACAGCTGACGGCATATATGTCAAGTGACGATTTATTGTTTCTGATGATAGGGCTTGCCGGTGGATGTATTTAAAAGTGATGATTAACTTAGCTGTCTCGTAGGTCTGCCGGACAATCAAAATATATAACAAAACAATAAATGCTAAAATACTGTGCACCGTTGCATCAAGTAAACAAGACATTTCAATCATTGCTAGGAAATAGATTTCTTTGATCCAATGTTCACGGGACATGATAACACACTGGAACGGTTTTTAAAATAGCATTCATCATCTGCATGAACTAGTCATTAATCATACTTTGCTTAAAGTTATAGCTTATTTCATTCAGCTTTGTACACATTTCCGAACTTATCAAAAGTTTTGATTTAAAAAAAAGTAGTTTGAATTTTATTAGCCAGAAAGTTCATACAGAACTAATAATTATGCATAAGGCGGCCCGTTTTTTCTGTCTTGATTCGTGAATTTACGTGTGACGTGAGATTATAAATAAGTTTTCTTATTTCAAATTTCCTCGCTGCTGTTGAAATTCCTTATGTGCTGAGGTGATACAAAAGTGAGTGAGTGAGTGAGTGAGTGAGTGAGTGAGTGAGTCAGCAATATTCCAACTGTATGGCGACGTTCTGGACCAGACAATCTAGTGATTAACAGCATGAGCATCGATCTGATGGGATACGATCACAAGTGTCAACCAAGACAGCGAGCCTGAACAAGCGATCACGTTAGTCGCCTTACGACATGCATGGGTTACTGAAGATCAATTCTTACCATCAAGCAACTCTTACCCGGAACTTCAGAGGAGACAAGCACGGATCACTGAAGATCAATTCTTACCTGGATCTTCACGGATCTATGATACAAAGAATCTTTTACCGGTGCACTGGGATAAGAAACATGTCATGTAACTAAGTGATATATAACAAAATACAGATGACTTAATTTCATGTTGGAGACAAGATTGCATCTTTAAGGCCCAATGACCATAACAAAACCGCAATATCTTTATACAAGTATAATATTATTTTAACTGACATTATCGATAAAGGGCTGCGCCATACTCAAATCAACACTTGCAAGTTATTATTGAAGGATTATTAATGACAAATCAATAAAAGATCAATAGAAGCATAACATTGAAGTAAATTGTGATGCTCACTTTCGATTAATATGAATCGAAAAGTACAAAGTCTTCGTATTGTCCTTTGGCAAATCATTATGCTGCCACAGGTGAATGGGCTTAAAGCGGCATCCACAAATTGCAGCTACCACAATCATTATGCCAAGAAATATCTAAAAACTTGAGAAACAATGGAAAACATTTAGAAAACAACAACATACCAAGCTAATGAAAAACTATATTAACCAATTTAAACATGTTCAACCCTACTACATTTGGGGTTGAAAATAAACTTCAAACCTTGAATAATTACACTGGGATTTCACCACAGGTGGGAAACATTGGTTTGAACACCTATGGCAAGATTTAGGTTCTTTTATTCAGTTTTGGAAGAGACGATGTTTACAAAAGATTAAGTATATATTTTCTAAATATTTTCCAAAATGGCTGCCGGCAGTTATATTGAGTTTTCTATCGATATGACTAAACACATGGAAATACATACGGTGACTGTCTCACCATCCAATTATCAGGCCTGTTATGTTTTGGAATATTTAAAGAGAACTTGGCTGCCTACCTGCCATATTGAAACTCCAATATGAAGTTTTGAACAAACGCGAACCTTGCAGTACCTTTAACTACATGAGCCATTGACGCAAACGCGAGTTTCCGAGGAGTATCGATCTCCTTTGGAATCAATATCAATGGGTTGTATTGATTCAGAGTGTAACTGAGCAAGACATGTAGATTGCCACAGGAAGCATGGATACAGGCTGCAGAGTCCTAGTGTCCGCATTGGTTTGGGCGTTATTCCTCTGCTTTACGAGAACAGGTAAGATTTAGTCAGGAAAACCTTGTGTATAAATACCACTTGATAGTATCCGTGGATTTATGGAAATCTGGAATCGTTCAAATTTCTTTGATCGGTTTCCATGATTTACAGAACGGTTTCCCCTCTTGTTCTGTAAGTGAATTTGGAATTGTACAAGTATATTATTACGGTTTCCATGATTTCCAGAACGGTTTCCCCTCTTGTTCTGTAAGTGAATTGGCGCTGTATTCACACTGATAACCATTTGAGTATGACAATTTCGTGAACTCTGGTCACTGGGTGTTTTAGTCACTCCTTAGATCGATTTCGCTGATTTCCAGACACAACCATATTTGTTTTAAATAGAGAATGTTTTTGCACGTATTATATATGCTCAAATTCGACATGCAATATAAATCATGGGCGTATTTTGTATTCATATTCATATCAACGACTTAGTATTTCTCAACCTGCGGACTATTGGATGGTGTAAATACTGCTTGGAAACCATGCATCCCCATGGTCTATGGTGGTCTAACCATTCTTGATAACTGACTATCTTGGCGTTGCTGTAATACACATACATAATAAATAGAACATAGGAGCAAAGGTCTCACTGGCAACATATTTTCTCAAACACTAATTAAGTTAGAGTAGTTGAAATTTTCACAGTGATCTTAAATGATTTCATATTTAGTAATACACATACATAATGAATATTAAATAGGAACAAAGTTCTCATTGGCGACACATGTTCCCAAGCACTAATTAAGTAAGAGAAACTGAAATTTTCACACTGATCTTAAATGTTTTCATATTTAGTAATACACATACATAATGAATATTACATAGGAAAAAAGTTCTCATTGGCGACACATGTTCCCAAGCACTAATTAAGTTAGAGAAACTGAAATCTTTACACTGATCTTAAATGATTTCATATTTAGTAATACACATACGTAATGAATATTACATAGGAACAAAGTTCTCATTGGCGACACATTTTCTCAAACACTAATTAAGTTAGAGAAACTGTAATCTTTACAGTGATCTTAAATGATTTCATATTTAGTAATACACATACATAATGAATATTACATGGGAACAAAGTTCTCATTGGCGACACATGTTCCCAAGCACTAATTAAGTTATAGAAACTGAAATCTTTACAGTGATCTTTAATGATTTCATGTTTAGTAATACACATACATAATGAATATTACATAGGAACAAAGTTCTCATTGGCGACACATGTTCCCAAGCACTAATTAAGTTATAGAAACTGAAATCTTTACAGTGATCTTTAATGATTTCATATTTAGTAATACACATACATAATGAATATTACATAGGAAAAAAGTTCTCATTGGCGACACATTTTCTCAAACACTAATTAAGTTAGAGAAACTGAAATCTTTACAGTGATCTTAAATGATTTCATATTTAGTAATACACATACATAATGAATATTACATAGGAACAAAGTTCTCATTGGCGACACATGTTCCCAAACACTAATTAAGTTAGAGAAGTTGAAATTTTCACACTGACCTTAAATGAATTCATATTTAGTAATACACATACATAATTTATATTACATAGGAGCAACGTTCTCACTGGCAACGAAATTTCTCAAACACTATAATTACGATAGAGAAATTGAAATTGTCACACTGATCCTACATGATTTCGTAAAGTGGTGTCTTTAGGAAATTCCTTTACAGAGTATTGGCCCTTTCTTTTCAACTCAGGTCTCAGCGGAAAGGAGTTACGTGGATGAAAGTTGTCATTTGGAGAAACTGATCCAAAATTAGGTGCCGCATATTACATTTCTACACAATAACGGCTTTGATCCATGATAATGTAATAAGTGCACGGTGCTATCAATGAAACGCTTTGTAACTTTTCGGTGATACTCATTAAAGAGTATTCTACCTTACACTTTCTTAGGACGTTTTTACCATGTCAATTATCACTTAATAACTGTTTTTCTTTAAAGAAATAGTATTGTTTTCAAAGGTTTCAGTTATACGTCTTGTTGATGGATATCTTTTGCTAGATTTGTCTACAATTGCTAACATCTGAAGTGATGGTGGTCTAAATTCAGCTAGGGTCCATGTAGGAAACAAAATTACTGTAAGTGCCTATGGTCCCTACAGGTTGTTCAGCTTGACCTGATCAAGTGAATACTAATGCATTGCGTTGGGTCTATTATTGTGAAGGGATGCGCCTTTGTCAGCTGATTGTCAACATGTCCGAACAGCCGAGACAAGGTCGCCGTTTGACATCTCAGTGTCGGGAAATCGCCAGCAATGTCCTTACTTTCTTTACACGGTCACACAGGAATCAGGCTTGCTCCATACCACGCAGATCTAAACCCAATCGAACTTATATGGGCCAATGTGAAAATTTTGTAGCTGCCAAAAAATGTGAAGTGTACTATTACCGATGCTAGGAAATTCGCTGAGGCGAGGTGTCTTGAAATTGGTGTAAACGAGTGGACTGATTGTTGTGCCCATGTTGAAAAATTGGAAAGCGACTACTAGGACAGAAATATTGCAGTTGAACATGAAATAGAAAAAGTGATAATTGAACTTGGTGGAGAGAGTGATAGCGAGAGTGAATCGGATTCTGAAAGTAACTGACTTTACATTGTAAAGTTAGTTAACCAAACTATATAGCATATGACTGTAAAAACAACTCAATTAAAACATGAAATGATTGTTTTTTTCAGAAGTGTTGTTTTCCGGGACAAGTTCTGTAACGAAGCCATGTATGCATGTTTCGCACGAACGCAACAATAACAACATTCTCTGCTCCCCTATTTAATGAAGTTAAATCGACCAACCATTTGTGCCATTTGACCTCCCGGGTCATGCATATGTAGAGTAGCTCAGGTCAAGCTGAACAACCTGTAGTATGGTGATCTACCGTTAGTTGTTGGTTATCTTTAGCCTGTTTATATATTAAATAATAGTTTATATCAGATTGTGATATTCGAGTTTGTTTTATTGTCCTTCATGTAACTTCATGTATTATGGGGCGATGGGTTAGCCTAGTGGTTAAGGCGTTCACTCGTCACGATTCCCCACATGGGCACAATGTGTGAAGCCCATTTCTGGTGTCCCCCGCCGTGATATTGCTGGAATATTGCTAAAAGCGGCGTAAAACCAAACTCACTCACTCACTCATGTATTATGAGTGTATAACTTGTTTCAGTCCCGATATGGCTGGAATACTGCCGATGTGACTTAAAATCGTATCTCACTCACTCATTCAGTTTTAGTAAAGTACAGATTCGTGTACTTTGATTTCTTGGGTTTTTTGTCCCATCAGAGATTTTAAAGAGATTTTCGTGTTGAATCCCTGATGCAAATCCCTGATAATACACCATGCAAAAACAGCCAGTATCTGCATATATTGCAAGTCTGAGTAAAATGACTAAAACTTGGATATCATCTTCTTGAAAGAAACCCGTGGTAGCAGAATTACTTCTATAAAGGGAGATACCGCTATCCGCCCTATGTATCAAGCTGATGTTAATACTGCATCAGTCAATAGATTGATAGGTATAATTATTATTCATTACTTCTTTTTTCACTACTTATTATAGATTATTAGATACTCTATATCAATACTCTACCATTTTCATGTTATTCTTAAAGAGATAGTTTCATTGCTGTAAATTGATTAACACAACCTTGAAAGACGTTACAATGGTTCACTGAAGTGTATATTGATAAAGCTCAATTATCGATGAATAAGGCTTCCAGGCATTCCCTCTTCTTAATATTTAAAGTAATCAATTAGTCCAGTCTGAAGACTGATCACGGGCGTTTAAGCCGTGTTATACTTATATTAACCTCATGGAACTACATGCAAAGTAATCAATTTGATTGAACATTGATAACAAGCGTTTAAGCCTACTTTATACCTACTTTAACCTCATGGAACTCACTACTATAGAAGATAACATCTTCATTTACTCATGCAACGCTTCACAAAAGCAATAAATGGATTTTTTAAATTGTTGGTCATATAGAGAAATTGCATCCAGTGTATGAGTAAGGTGATAAATGCTCACCTATAGACACGTTTACGGGGGTTAAAGCATTCGCACATTCTCACACACTACTCCACTTAGTGCATTGCTATATAAATGTATTACATGACATTGAAGATATCTGGGTTTGATTTTCCATATGGCAACAATGTCTGATGTCTATTGAGTAAATTTGTATGTAAATGTATTACACGACAATGAAGATCTCTGGGTTTGACTTTCCATATGGCAACAATGTCTGATGTCTGTTGAGAAAATTTGTATGTAAATGTATTACACGACAATGAAGATCTCTGGGTTTGATTTTCCAAATGGCAACAATGTCTGATGTTTGTTGAGTAAATTTGTATGTAAATGTATTACAGGACAATGATGATCTCTGGGTTTGATTTTCCATATGGCAACAATGTCTGGGGTCCATTTATTGCATTTTAAAAATAACTCTTAAGCACGACATTGTAGACCTCAAGGTTTGAGATACCATATGTGAAATCTGTTTGCTATGTTTTAGTATTTCTGACTAATTACAGAAACCAATCTGGCCTTGAACAGGCCAACCTCAGTGAGTTCATCGTATAGCAACAATGGTGGGAGCACTGGTAATGATGGGAACAGTAATGGACACTTTGGCTCTGGAAGCTGTTTTGCCTCTCAGGACGCGGACAGCGACCCCTGGTGGCAGGTTGACTTGCAGGCTAACTTCATTGTGAAGAAGATCGAAATCACAAACAGACAGGAATGCTGCCGTGAGTTCACTAGATTAGAATATTGAAAACATTGACACTCTTATTGCATTTCTTAGACAATGCTTGAAGAGAAACAAGATCAATCGTGAGACATTATACGTTATACAACTGTGACACCTTAGGCGTGGGACTGGTGCTTTAATACACATGTCACGCTCTCACGTCAAAACTGAAAAATCACAATAGCTGTGTTCACTAGGAAATCAGTAGTCGTTGCCCCACCCTATGGTGTAGTCCAGAGAGTCTCTATCTCAGTAGACGCCGGTAGTTCCCACTCGGTAGTGTAGTCCAAAGAAGGTCTAACTCAGTAGAAGCCGTTTCTCGCACCCCATGGTGTAGTCCAGAGAGCGTCTATCTCAGTAGAAGCCGGTAGCTCCCAAACTATGTTGCAGTCCAAAGATGGTCTACCTCAGTAGATGCGGGTGGTTCCCAACCCATGGTGTAGTTCATTGAGGCTCTGTCTCAGTCGAATCTAGTAGCTCTCAAGCGTCCCCATAACGATACATTTTCTGACGTATTATATATATACATTTTTTGTAGCTGAGAGATTGCACAGTATTTCTCTGGAGCTTTTCGACGAGGATCCATCAGTTGAACCCTCGACCCCGGCCAAACTCTGCTACTTCATCTCGGACATCGTAACGTGGTCGACACTGACCATAAGATGTACAAGACCCGTGACTGGCAGGTATCTCCGTCTCACCAAGACGAGCCAGCTAAATCTTCACGATTTGCTGCAATTCTGCGAAGTGAAAGTGTATGGAGGGCTAACAGATGCCAACAGTTTGTGTAAGTTTCCTTGTTGTAAACTCTAGTGGTCAGAATGATGGGTTGGTGTACATTACAAATGTGTGAAACTATATGAAATAAGACATGTCACCGTATCCCAATAGCATAGATCGATACTCATGGTATTGATCACTGGATTGTCTTGTCCAGTCTCGATTATTTACAGACCACCGCCACAAAGCTGGAATATTGTTGAGTGCGGCGTTAAACAACAAACATGAAATAACACATGTATAAATGCGATGTGTCGTGTGTTCTATGTAGACATTCATCCTCATCAGTTATGTGTTCTGATGACACCGACGTGGAGGGTAATGAAGGATATACTCGATACTAAAATGTTATTTCCCATTACTTTTGAGCGACGTTAACAAATGTCGACGTAAACGTCTAACGACGTCTTATTTACATCATCACAAACACGTCCAGTTATGAATGACATTAATTTGTGTGTTTACTTTAGGTTGTTTTCTTTGCATGTTTTCATGATCAATTCTTTATTCATCATTATATATCACAGCTGTACGTGATTTGCATGTTTTTATTTGCATTTTGACAGATGCATGAGATTGTACTTCTGTTACTTGAGGGGGGTGGGATAACCGAGTAGTTAAATCGCTCGCTCGTCACGCCAAGAGCGGTTCAATTTACCACATGGTTACGATTAGACTAATGCTTGGTCTCTGAATATATATATAATTTTGATAGTAAAAAACAAGCCCATTTTAATTGAAAAGGAGCCCTAGGGAGACCAGAGATTCAGAACCTGAGGAAATCTAGACTTGCTTTATTTAGGGCTTTAGCACTGCAGAGAGGGCTTGGTAGTATGGAAACTTATGTAGTTCAGGGACTGTGAGACAGACTAGGCTATGATGTTTGAAGCCCATTTCAGGTGTCTCCCACCGTGATATTGCTTGAATATTGCTAAAAGCGGTGTTAAACTAAACCTCACTCATTCTCTCCATTACTTGAAGGCCAATATCCAGATGGTAATATCAGGGACATTCTACACACTCGTTATTTAACAGAAAAAGTCAAACTTAAACGAATTATGTTTACTAACATGTTAAATATTACCAAGTTAAAAAATATTATGTTGAATTGGGTAGGCCAAATTTGACAATGTTCTCTAGATGGTATCATTGTATTTCAGGTGCATCATTTGTACAAACACAAGGATCTCGCTACGACGGTGCCTCCAACATTATCCAAGGACCAGAGATTAATAGTTCAATAGCATGCGCCGTCACCTGTGAACGTCTAGAGACCTGCATCGGCTTCAACATCCGTTACAACCCGGAAGTCGCCTGCGTGCTCGTACAAAATCCGGATCTAACTCTTGTTCAGGACGCTGCTTGGGACTTCTATTTGTACAAATCCTGTGCAAGTCCATGACTAGCTGAGTCAGTGACTAAGACTAAGGGACATTGTCCACTATGGTCGACAGTTTGGGAGACTGTGGCTCAACCTGCGAACGTGTAAGGAACTGCACCAGTTGCAACATCCGTTACATACCGGAAGTTACGAGCAAGTTTTCTAGGATTTGGATCTGACTCATATTCAGGGCGCTGCTATAATTGAGACTTTTATTTGTACAAATCATGTGTCATTAGTTAGCCTGGGAAGACTGAGGGACATTGTCTACCATTGGGGGTCGACAGTTTGGCAACATATAAACGTGCAATGACCTGCACTCGCTTCAACAGTTACGTGAGAGTTTCTCCAGAACTGAGATCTGACTTCTCTTGTTCCTGACTCTACTTGGAACATCTATTTGTGCAGATTGTACAATTCCTTGTGTCATTAGTGTTATTCATTTTGTAAATTTATTTTTTCTTATTGACAGACAACGTACTCGCACTGGCACAGTAACGCACATGCCAATTGTCAACTCATACTATTGCAATAGCTCTTTTTTCTCCTTGAATTGTCTCATTTGAAGTCATTTCCCAAATAAATGTATAGTTTATACGAAGTAAAATCAAGCTGAAGTAGTTTCTTTTCATAACTGATAAGAAACGTGAACCCAGATAAACTTTGTTTAAGAGGTAACAGGGGAGGATAACTGTAAATCAAAGTGAACCAATCTGGTACTTCCTGTATTTTGCGCTGCGCATTTATCAACGGAAATCATTTACTAAAACTATCGATAGTCACACATACTATCGAGCCATGGTTTAGTAACCATGAGCTTTGATAATCATGTAAACATGCATTAAATGACACAATGCTTGTTTTGCGGTGTAACTTTCCTTCTGAATGTATATATAATGTATCACACACCATGCTGGTTGGGTTATGTAGTTTCCAAATTACAGGTTAGTGGAACATTTTATTGCATTTCAATTCTCAAATAATTTAGATATGACATAAAACGCAAAATATATAACATCATCGGGGTTTTGTTGGATTATAACTGAAATAGGTACATAAAATGTTAAAGTTTCTGTAGATAAGATTGAAGGGATAAGGTTATATAGTAGTGATTGTAGTGAGGGGAGACTAGAAATATCAATTGATGTTTTAAGAGCGCGTCAATGCTCAATACATAATAAGACACTTCCTCATAAAAGGGTCTAAGCGATTATTTTTCCTGGCTATTATTTTCAGTTGTACATATATCCTTCAATAACTTAACAAATCCCTCAAAAGAAAGAGAATGTTTAATACCTGAAACATAAATGCATCATTTGGCTAGAAGTATTAATATGATTTAGTATTTCATTGTTTGAGCACACTCCAAACATGATTATGGAATTTGAAATTGACATTACACTGAGTATTAAGAAATTGTTCTACTATATGCCAAAAGTTTTCAACTGTCACAGTCAAAAATACATGCAATATGTCTTCTGAGGAATTTTCACAAACAATATCAATATCAACTAGCTTCATCCTCAATAGTTCTTTCTTTGTATATATTCTTCTGCAAATGAATCTGTACTGAAAGTCTAACAGCTTACAATCATTTGTACATTTCCTGTAATATCTGAATACATCACTCCACATTATATCACGATGAAAGACAGTGTTCCAATACTCTAGTACCTTAGGGGTATTGTTGTTCTTAATTAATTCACCATAGAATATTCTTGCAATTTTAACTTTTGAGATCATATCTTGGTAAACACTCTTAATGTTTAATTGATATAAGCGGAGAATTCTGTTACCTAAAAGTTGTCTCCAGTTCACTGGAATGCTATTTAATAATTTTCTACCTCTGTTTTAGATCTTCAAAACTGAGAAATCCATTTTTATTACAATTATCTCTGACATAATGTATACCGCAATCAAACCATTTTTTATCATATTTGAAGATTTAAAGAAATGATTTAACCGAAGTGGCTGAGCCAAGATTGGATCTTAGTCATCACTGTCAAAGGTGTGCTTTTCATAAACTATTCTCCAAGCAATAAACGTTTTAACACCAGCCCAATGGTCGAGTTTTAATCATGCGACAGTAATGACATGGCAAGGGTGGATAGAGTGAGTTCTTCATACATTATAAATAGAACTTGCAAACTATGTGATCATAACCAAATTTAAGATGAATATCATGTTCTTTTAATTTGCCCTGCTTATAATTCCCTGAGAAAGTTGTATGTTAAGAAATATTATTGTGCCCATCCAATCCTTTATAAATTTTCAGCATTGTTAAATAACAAAAACCATACTATACTTCAAAACTTGTCCATGTTTGCTTACTATGCCATGTTGTTTAGGACAGAATATATCTCAGAACACAATCTAACCTACAGTTGATTATTTTCTCTTTTCATGTATATTACATGTGCGTGTAAATATAGATTTATAAATGTGTTGTCCTACAGGCCTGTGGCCTTTCAGTACCGGAAATAAATATATATATGACAAGCATGGGTTACTGAAGACCAATTCTAACCCGGATCTTCACGGATACATGTGGTCTGCTGGACAATCTAAATATATAACAAAACAATAAATGCTAAAATACTGTGCACCGTTGCAGCAAGTAAACAAGACATTACAATCATTGCTAGGAAATGGATTTCTTTGATCCAATGTTCACGGGACATGATAACACACTGGAACGGTTTTTAACATAGCATTCATCATCTGCAGGAACTACTCATTAATCATACTTTGCTTTAAGTTATAGCTTATTTCATTCAGCTTTGTACACATTTCCGAACTTATCAAAAGCTTTGATTTAAAAAAAGTAGTTTGAATTTTATTAGCCAGAAACCTCATACAGAACTAATAATTATGCATAAGGCGGCCCGTTTTTCTGTCTTGATTCGTGAATTTACGTGTGACGTGAGATTATTAATACGTTTTCTTATTTCAAATTTCCTCGCTGCTGTTGAAATTCCTTATGTGCTGAGGTGATACAAAAGTGAGTGAGTGAGTGAGTCAGCAATATTCCAACTGTATGGCGACGTTCTTGACCAGACAATCTAGTGATTAACATCATGAGCATCGATCTGATGGGATACGATCACAAGTGTCAACCAAGACAGCGAGCCTGACCAAGCGATCCCGTTAGTCGCCTTACGACATGCATAGGTTACTGAAGATCAATTCTTAACATCAAGCAACTCTTACCCAGAACTTCAGAGGAGACAAGCATGGATCACTGAAGATCAATTCTTACCTGGATCTTAACGGATCTATGATACAAAGAATCTTTTACCGGTGCACTGGGATAAGAAACTTGTCATATGAGTAAGTGATAAATATATCAAAATACAGATGACCTATTTTCATATTGGAGACAAGATTGCATCTTTAAGGCCCAATGACCATAACAATACCGCAATATCTTTGTACAAGTATTATATTATTTTAACTGACATTATCGATAAAGGGCTGCGCCATACTAAAATCAACAATTGCAAGTTATTATTGAAGGATTATTAATGACAGATCAATAAAATATCAATACAAGCAAAAGTCTTCGTATTGTCTTTTGGCAAATCATTATTCTGCCACAGGTGAATGGGCTTAAAGTGGCATCAACAAATTGCAGCTATTCGCAGATGAGAAAGTTATAATAGCTGTGACGATTCATCAAAGTATAGATAATCGTGATACTTTATCTGACGATAAATATATCGATACTTTTGTTCGTATCGTGATATGTATCGTTGACCTTAAATTGTTAATGTTCACTAGAAATTGACGGTTATGTAAAACTTTACACTTTTACTTGCTATCAAAATATACATTTTTAAAGAAAATAACTTAAGATAGCATATCGTGATATGCATCGAATCGTATCGTTCCAAGATATCGCGATACGTATCATATCGTGACAATTCCGTATCGTCACACCTCTAAAAGTTACTAGCTCCGTCCATTATCACGTACACAGTCAAAACGTGTATTCAAAACTAAACTTCTACATCTTTTTACAGTCTAATGTCTTTCAAATATGAGGAATAAAACGTTGAGGAACAGTACAAGAGCTTTGATGAATCAGTGCGAAGTCCACATATTCCATCGAAAGGTGTATGCTTGAGGACCCTGATGAGTACGTTAAGGGAGATTCTTTTCTTTAAATAAATATAAAAACGCATAAGGACTAAATCCAGCGTGAAACCTTCGAATCACCGCTTCATCTTGACCACTTAGATCAATTTGTTTGATCATGAAAACATGCAAATTATACAACATGAATTAAACACACAAATGAATGTTATTCACTACTGGACGTCTTTGTGATGATGTCGATAAGACGTCGTTAGATGGTAACGCCACAATTTGTTAACGACGCTTAAGAGTAATGGGAAATCATCATCATCATCATCATCATCATCATCATCATCATCAACTAAGAACTTATATCCAGTCAGTATAACTGCTCTAAAGCGCTTTGAGATGATACATGTCACATAGGTGGTAGTCCTTGCATGTGGAACACACAGCATGTCTGGTTCCATGGAACTAAAAGACCTCACGAGATTTTACTCTTAGAGTTGAAAAAACAAGATACAAGCTTATGAAAAACTATATGTAAACATGTTCAACCCTACTACACATGCAGGTTGAAAATAAACTTCAAACCTTGAATAATTACACTGGGATTTCACCACAGGTGGGAAACATTGGTTTGAACACCTATGGCAAGATTCAGGTACTTTTATTCAGTTTTGGAAGAGACGATGTTTACAAAAGATTAAATATATGTTTTCTAAATATTTTCCAAAATGGCTGCCGGTAGTTATATTGAGTTTTCTATTGATATTACTAAACACATGGAAATACATACGGTGACCGTCTTACCATCCAAGTATCAGGCCTGTTATGTTTTGTACTTTTTAAAGAGAACTTGGCTGCCTACCTGCCATATTGAAACTCCAATATGAAGTCTTGAACAAACGCGAACCTTGGATTACCTTTAACTACATGAACCA